ATTTGGAACTTTAAGCATATTTTTCATTCATAACTAATTTTCTATATTGTATTTAGATGCTTACTAGCTTGAGGTAGTTTTTTGAAGTCTTCCAAATTAAAATTTGGTATTAATTTAAATATTAAAAAATCAAATAATACGTAAATAAATTTTTGATTTTTTCGATATATATATATATTCGATATATTTTCGATTGATTTTATATATATATTTATTATATTTAGTATTCCCCAAGCCGCTCATTTCGGTATGCAACTTTCAACTTTGTCCAAGCCGCACTAAATAATAGTAATATCAAGACTATACCATCAGCGGTACAGCCCATGGCTGCCCCATTAGAATTAAAAGGCATCCTGTTACGCGAAACAAAAAGACAATAACAGTAAAAATAATAATGTTAACAATAACAACAGCTGTTGGTTCAGTGATTTTATCGCSGGTGTATTCATTAAAAGTGGCGCGGCCATTGCACTAGCTACGAGCTAYCAGCTAGCTGCTGGACCAAACGCCAGAAGTGGTACAGTGGYCTAGTGCTCCGAACTGCTCACCCACGTAACAGTGGCGTATGCTGTTGTGTTGTTGTTGTCCGACACACAGCGTTCGATTTGATGGCGAGTACAAAAGCGGTGCTACTTGTTGTTGTGGTTGGTAGCCGACAATTTGGTAGTTTTTTTCACGCCAGCTAGTCAGTAGGCGTCCGCCACGCTGGTCAATTGACCTTTGATGAGCCCAAAATTACAGCTGCAACTGGTAATTTCCTGCGGTTGTGGTGCCCGGTGGCGTTGCAGTAAGTACGTCGCCACAAACTCATGCCACAAGGCAGCTGATGCTGTGGCGTTGTTTTGCGGCGAAGWTGCCGCGGTGTAGCGCGGTTGTTAACGTGGCTTTTGCTGCCACCGTGGCGCTCATAAATCATTTGCCGCAAGCGCGGCGACCGCTACTGGGCTCCAAGTAGGCCGGCCGCATGCATGTAATGASCATTGTACTGCCGAAATGTATGTCAATAATTTTATTGTTGTTGTGTTTTTTTTATGAATGTTACACTTTGGTATTATTCGCCTATTTAACTATTTCTTTTATTTTCAGGATCTCTCTACAGTGGCGGCAACACCACAGGCGACGACGAGTACAACCGTGAGCGTTCGTTTAGCGAGAAAGCGGATTGCCTTGATTTGACCGACGACGAAAACGGTTTCGACATACGTTGTGAAGTTTGTGATAAAACATTTCCGGAACTAGACGAGTGCGTAATTCTTTTGACTATATTTTTAGAGTTTATTTTTTTTGAAATATTATTTAATTTCGGGCTAAAAGAGATCAAATCAGAATATTTCTTTAAAAATAGGGTTAGGAATATGTTTTGTAAACTTTTTATTCACGATCCGTTTGCGAGATATGACGAGAAACTTTTCGTCAAACTCAACTTGCATATAGGCCTACATAAAATATTGATTATTTTGTTGCTWTGAACCATAAACCATGACAAATTTKGTGAAGCTATCTTGTCAAATAAAGAAGTTTTCCGTAAAAGAACATAACATAGTGGTCCGATATCGGCGGTCCCGACAAATAAGCAGTTTCTTGGGGAGAAAAAGACGTCTGCAAAATTTCAGTTCGATGTCTCATGTTTGGTGGACTAGTTAGAGTATATATAGATAGACGATTAAACGGACATGCCTGAATCGACTCAGYTTGTCACGCTGTTAATTTCTATATTTTTTTATAAAGTATCTTGAATTTCATTTTGGGTGTTACCAACGTCGAGGCATACTTAGTATAGCCAGTTCAGGGCATAATAATAAACACAAGCTTAAGACAATAAACTTAATCAATTCAACAAAGAGCGATAGTTTAACTGGTAGGCATGAAATATTTTTGAAATTATTAGTTCTCACTTAACTCAACCTCAACCCGCGCACTTACGGCACACTCCACCAAGGGCTTAACCCCACCGTTATGCAATTTATTTCTCTACTGAAGTGTACTATGATTATCGCAATCAATTGGATTGTGTTGATAATTAATATAACCCTTTGCATTTCTAAGGCCAATAAGCAATAGACATCAGATAAAGCAGTTCACAATTGTATTTATGTTCAGCTTGTTAAGAAGTAACTGTTAATAATAGAGGACTATAGCTGCCAATCGATTGCTTAATCGAATTATCGCTGTTAATTACACCAGCCGTATGTGTCATCAGTGATAATGAGGCAGCAATTAAATGTGTCAATCTAACGGTAAACTTATGAGTAACTACAATACACTTTTAGATAAATATTAGGTATATTAGCGGCTATTTAGTTTGACCTTGACTACCCACTTCTGAAAAAATTCCTTCCTTTTTCCTACTATCTGCATTTCTTCATGGTTCACTTGCTGTCTTATGAGCTTGGTTGCTCTCTTCATGTTTTAAGCAAGTGGCACAATTTGGGTAGGTAAATACTGGACGGGGTTCAATAAAATTAAACGATTTAGTTTTATTATTACAAATGGARRAAATAAATTAAAAAAAAGACCTTTACAAAACCTCACATATTTAAAAAAAAGTTCTTGGTCCTGGAATACAGTCGACAAATTTAATTCTCTAAGACCTGTAGACATGCTTTCTTTAAGCACTTAGCTGTAGAGGGAARAAGGAATGTATTTCAACTGAACTCACTCCTGAATTTGAAGTATCTGTTCGGTTTTTCATGTACTTACTAAAGAGTCGTATCATCAGTTAAACCTTAATATTTAAAAGCTTTTGAGCGAAATGCTGCCGCACATCAACTAGTAAAAGCGCTTAAAAGTTAAGGGGTACACCTCGCTCGTTTCATTCGAACTTCGGAGAATACACATAACTAGCACCAACAACAATAACCATGTGAGGAGTTCTTTTGGTCCAAAAAAAAAAATGTTTTGTTTAGGCTATATTATGTTTGTAAATTTCAGAGATCTTATAAAATACCTTAAATTTTCATTGTACGAGTATGTTTGGTCGTAATAATAGTCCACTTGTGCTATTCGTCGAATTGTTGAAAACTTCAAGAGTACATTTTCCTTACATAATGTTCAATTGCCAATAAGGCAAAAAATTAAAGTAATAAAAATATTGCTGCTATTCAGGSAAGTGTTGCTGAAGACCGCAATTTGTCGATTCCTAGACGTTCTCAAGCATTGGGGCTCACCACTGTATACGTCGTGAATCTGCTGATTTTGCCCTTAAACAACGTGAAAATGATAACGATTAATCTTCTTCTATGAGGCTAAGTTTCATCTGAGTGGTTCGGTTATTAAACAAAACTGTCGATACTGGTGTGAAGAAAACACAATTTATTCATGAACAAACATTACATTCACATACATTGACAGTTCGGTGTTGTTTTTGGTCTGGAAGAATTATCGGTTCGTACTTCTTTCGAAATGAAGCTGGTGGAGGCGTTACTGCCGATGTAGAGCGATGATAACCAACTTTTATGACCACAATTGGAAGAAGTTGACTTTGAGGCAATACATGGTTCCAACAAGATGGCGCTGCGTGCCACACAGCACGTGGAACAAGCGTATTATTGCGAGAAAAGTTTGGAGATTCGATTATTTCAAAAAATTGTGATATTGATGGCCTCCAAGAAGTTGTTATTTAACACGATTAGACTACTTCTCGTGGAGTTTTTTCAAGTCATAGATCCTTAATAATAAACTAGACTGTTTTAAAGCTTTAGAAGTCAATATTGAACTTGCTATTCATGAGTGGAGCTCAGTTAAATAATGTTATATTCGGCACTTAATTATATGGATTGCACTTCACATTGAATTTTAAAACATTTGAAATTCTTAGCAACTTGTTTGGCAAAGAAATCATCATATCATTATCCTGTATAACGTCCGTCTGTATAAAACAAAGTAGCCAGTATTTAAGATATCGATCAGAAATTCTTAAACATTTGTGGCAACGACCGATATCGGACCTTCACCTTTCTTGATATGAAGGTTGAGGTTTTGACATAATATGCCCAGTGAGCCACTTTGGTAAGCAGAACTGGGGCTGTGGGATGAACCAAATTTAATGTTACGGTGTGTAGATGGTATAAATATATGTATAATAAAGTGATTGAAAGTAAAACTTTTTCATTTGATATTTGGATGCCTTATTGTTCGTGGCAACGGCGGCTTCTGCGAAAAAGTTGTTAAGATCGAGTAACTATGGTATATATGGAGCTCCCACACAAACTGGCCGATGTAAAGAATCGTTTATATTTGTAAAGGGTATTATGGTGTAGGTGCGGTGCAACCAAAGTTAACATCTTTTCTTACCTTGCTTTGACACAAAATTGTCACCCGAACTATTTACAACAATAAAAATAGTGCTATAAATCCATACCGCTCATTAACATTGCTAATCACTTTATTTGCCCACAACATATTTCTCCAATTAACACAAAGAACTCAACAACTTGGTAAAMAACGGTGAATTGTCAAGCAAATTGAAATGCAAATATTTGTACGGGAAAGTGATAAAATGTTGGCGTTTGTTTGAAGACACCCCTGAGTGTCTTCCAATTCGAGTGGAATTAAGTTTTCGTGTGTAAGCGCCGTTGTGTTGCTAAGCGTTGGAGTACACGAGCTTATTTGCGCGACAGTTAAAGTCAATTGTTGAAGTGTTGATATATTTACATGCCACCGCACATACATACGCACACATATGCAGTGATTGAGCGCGGCTGAGCACGACGGGCACACAAGCACAATTGAAATACTGATTTGTTTGCACAGTCAGTTGAACTCATGCGCGCCTAGCTGGTCACTGTGCCACCKCTGCCGCACGTGTAATATGGTAAAATATATACTAAGTGTTTATGTGGAAAGTRGAGTAATGTGCAGCAGGATGTTTCATCTGGGCGCCGGACGGCCCTTCGTGTGCACGGCTAATGCATATTTTAGATTTTGTGACATTATTAAATGAGCAAGTGCGACGGCACGCAACAGATAGCTCGCCATGTCACTTCATAACACAGGGAACGCATGGCCTTCAGCACCACTGGAGGTAACATAGATGTGGCAGGTCCTTTCATTGATATTTTCTCCATTATAGAATAGCAAACACCAGCACAAAATAATATTTTTATTCAAGCAAAGTTAGCGCCAACAGACAAACGCTGAATTTTACCTGAGCGCCACATCCCCAAAGCGTTCAGTAATGCAAAACAAAAAACAATAAAGAAAAACACTGAGAACGCCCCACTTGAGAAGCGCGCTGAACACACCACAAATGCCTTCGTAAGTACGCGCTCGTATGTCCATTATTTGCTTGATTATCGCCGCGTTCCCGTCATCCTTTTTGTTGGCGCTCTTATCTGATATTTGTCGTGCACTCATTCATTTTGATGTACATGCAAACCGCCCAAGCAAGGCAAATAAAATCAAACAACAACGCCTTCAGCCACTCAACACCCACGCGCGCACAAACCCATGCACTCACATAGCACACGCCTTTTGTAAGCGCCGCCGCGTAGTATGCTTGTATTTGCCTATTGACATATGCTACCTCATTACGCGCGGTACTCCAACCAACACCTAACCAACAGCGCAGCGCGCCCCACTCGTTGAACGCCCGTGCGCGATAAGCATCTTCGTTCGTCAAATTGTGAGTGTTTATATTTCGAATATGAGCGTTATGACGCTGTGTGTGTGTGAGTGCACATGCACATCAAGGACACAAATCCTGACGTTTCTGTTGTGCATGGCTTCGAACAGCTGCGCTCGCAAAGCGATTTCGGCCAGGATTGTACATATTAGAGCAGCGCGATCGTATCGCACATTAAATATTGAACATCATTTGGCTAATTGTTGACAGGCGAACCGGTAGACAAATATTTAGAGCACATTTATCATGATTATTACATATGTAGCATAGCATAGTAATGTATTTATTATCTATTTGAGCTGCCTTTTCAGATATTTTTGGTTTTTTATTTAATTATACATTTTTATTAAAACTTGCAAGTTTCTAATTTCGAATTTTATTTTCTAGGTTGGACCATCATTTGGTTGCTAAGCACTCGTTTCGTAAAGACGAGTTTCCCTGTGAGTTGTGCAACAAGCCATTTTGTCATCGTCCTTTATTACTGAAGCATCGCGCCTTAGAGCACAACGAAGTTCGAAAGTATCCCTGTGAGAATTGCCCAAAGGTAAGTTTGAAATATATATTATATTTCATATATATTTCATAAGATCGTTTATTAGTTGCCATCAAATTTATAAAATTTAAAAGCAAGCGATTGTAATAAATTGTATAAAGTTTGGATAGAAAGATTTGAGATTAGCTATCTTATTAACTATGAAATGGTTAGGTGGGTTTCAGAGGTACAAATAAAAAGTAATTTTACGATTTTTTTTAATAAACGTAATCGTATATTTGAAAAATATAATATGTTATATCAAAGGTATATGTTTGAACAATATCTGCTGAAATTTCGATACAAAAATGTTGAAAATTCCGCCGTTGAGACCACATTTCCCTGGTCGTCTCTCAAAAAAGTGCTCTCGCCGTGGACAGCATAACTTATTATTGGTTCATATAAAATTAAAAAACTAAGCATAAATCTCGTTTTTGAACGTAGGAAATAAAAAAATAKTAAAATTGTGCTTCTTTTCTCGGACTTTGAACAAAAAACTCATTTTTGGTCAAATTTTCGGCATTTTTTGGTCAGAAAAATAAGTTGTAATGAAACAAGAAAAAATTCTTCCTTCAATAACTAGATAATATTATTTCAAAAACGTGTACACAATACGAACTAAATCGGTCGATAACTTTTCGAGAAATCGTGTCCACCGACTTCAAAAACACAATTTCGAGAAAAACGCGTTTAAAGACAGGGCAAGTTCTTAAGKCTGTATCTCCGAAATTATTACTCAAMTCAACTTTAAAAGTTAGGACTATATTCTAGAGGTAATGCAGAATTTAATAAAGCAAACAAAAAAAAAATCGATATTTGGAAATTTTCAAACTCACCTAACCCCTGAAGGGATCACGTTGGTCTACCTCCTTATTTAAACAACTCGTTATAGTTTCATTTAAATTTAGTTTTAATTTTGCTTAAATTTTTTTGGATTTTTTGGTTTGTTCATTATTAAATTTTTTTGTATTATCAACAGTTTAACGAACGTTCTGGTTAGCATTCGGGTTTGCATTCGGAGTTCAACTAACTGGTTATTCACTTCGAAGCCGTAATGCAGGCGAGCCAATATTCTGGTGTGGGGGTAAATAATCGTAATGGATGAGAGCAGAATCTCCAAAGTGTGACGCTTTTTGGTAGCTTTCCTTTGTTACCTCTTAAGGATGTACTTCCTTTCATCGGCTGCTGAAATTATGATATCGGACTCTAATACTCTTCTCTCGCCTGACTGAGATATGTCCATAATGCATACCATTTGAGAAAATTGCTCTGGATTAGGACTGTGAAATCAAATGGTTCTTGCGAAATGTTTTGTCATTGTCACTGCGTTTTGTTTAKTGAAAACCGTCTTCAAGAAAAATTGCCTTCGTCAGATTGGCAGATAGGCCAAAATTAAATCCACAGCCACTYTTCATTAAAGTAGAAGAACCTAACACTGAATCATCTTGAACTATCAAACATTCGTACCATCATTTCGTTCGTGTCGCCACTAACCCACAATAAAAATAACCAGCCGCAACTGTCATTCTTGTTTCTTCCCTTAAATCAGAATTTCTTTAAAATTTTACAAATACTTTGATAGGCCTTTCTATTGCCAAAGTTCTCTGCATTGTTTATTTCTTCTTTCACATTATCCTCGACTGAATTTGGGAGCTGTTCGCTTTATCCAAATCCGTTGTAGCTCTCATAGGTTGCTCGGTTGAAGCYTCAGGGCACAATCTTGCAGTTTCTAATACGATTTATTTACAAAATCCCTAACTTCAATTMTTCTATGCCATTACAACTGAATATCGGTCTGGGCTGAGAACACAAAACTTGGCCAGTTGCCGCGATCTTTYGCTAGTTTACGTTAATTGTATATCAGAAATGCAGACAGGTCGAGTGCACTTAGAACTTTCATTGGAACCATGAGCCCTCTTACTTTCGACAACCATTTCGATTCGAAGAAGCTTTTCGTTGATCATCTTTTATGCGAACAATATGGCCTTCGTAGCATCTCGATTGTATATTGCGTATAATTATTTTCGGTGAATAGTTCCCTCAATTGCTCAAATGTTTTCTTTTTTTAGTTCGTCATCAACTATGCTTTTAAGCCATATAATAGGATGGGAATGATAAGAGACTTATAGAGCGTAATTTTTGTTTGTCGAGAGGGAGAGAGCAATTGAGAAGCAGACTTAATTGCTTACSAGTCCCAAAGTGGCATCGATTTGCAAGAGTTAGATTATTGATGGCTTGGAATATTGGTGGAATTTATGCTGGATCTGAGATATGCAAAGTTCTTAATTTTTTCAAATTTATAGCAACCAACAGTGATGAAGTTCCAAAAGCTAGGAGCCTTTGTACCGGGCCTCCATACATTATACTTTGTCTTGCCMTCGTTCACCACAACACCAGGCTGATGCTGTTGTAGCGACTGAATTTCTCCGAGTTGACAGTACTTGGCCAGAGCAAAATCCGGGTCTGCTCCAGTTACGTAGACCCGACAGTCGTGGGAATGACCAACCACCTCTTCTTTATCACTTCTTTTGCCTTCACTTAGCCGCATTTATTATGATTACTTAGAATATAATTACGCAGCTAAATCTTTCGTTGTAACTGAGGCCTTTACTAGTTTCATTATCAGAAATCKTGAACACGCGTCTACTTATGGTTGTATTTAATAAGCGTACCACGTGCTYATGTCCTTGTAAAMYACAGCGCACAGTGCGGTAGCCAACAGTAGTTGATCATTTGTATGTACATTAGTCAATCTGCGAAATAGCCATAAGCGCGAGCAAATTTCTAGCAAGTGGCAAATGAAGCTGCGGCTCGGGCCCGCGGCTGTCAGCTCAGACGTGTTTTGCCGCTCAAACGAAAGAGATTGTCCGGTCAGTGTGTGGCATTGTAGAGTAGTGCGCCGCACCCCGTGCTAGCTCACCTGTGCGTCGTATACGGTTGCTTGTTGTTGACTTTGAAGAGACTCCGCCTCGTCCATTTATCTTCTTTGTGACAATCTTGCGCCTCGCAGCAACAACACACCCTTGCCCTGAGCCATGTATRCCTAGGTGTTGCGTTATGTAGCGGAATACGTTTTCAACAAATCCAAGATTACATAGCATGCGTTAATTTTTCAAAAGCAGGACGGTGCTGGCGGTGGGATGGGGGCTCAAATAAGAAAAGAAAATAGTACAATGAATAAGATAAAAATTAATGGAATGTCACGGTGCTTAATGCTTAAAGTGCGAAGATTGATCAACCAGCGCCAAAATGAAACAGTTAAGGCAAATCAACAACAACAACACTAATAACAAACAGACCTGAACGACCAGCATGATTGCTAACAGTGTTTAGGAGGAGGGGCGTAGTGGGGACGCCATTTCGAATCGTAGCAACGACAAATGTCAAAATCATTGATTTCATTACAATGTGGCATTTAACAAAGTAACGCATAARACGCGCAACAATAAAGCGCTGGAGAATTGTTAGTGAAAAAAAGTATACTCGCACTATAAATTTATGAGCGATGAGGTGCTGCGCTGCCAACGCCGCTGCCAACGTCGCCGTGTTGATAATGCGGATGATAAAATACTTTTGATTTCTAGTAGATCAATAGCCGGCGGCCACTTACTTTTGAATTACCACTAAAACGAAATACAACAAGAAGAAAACAAAAAAAAAGATTAACAACAATAACAACAATTGTAACTTGAATAACAACAAACCCCATGAAAACAAAAAAAAAAAAACGCTACACCAAATTGAACGCAAAAAAAGCAGACTCGAAATAGAAAATCTCAATGCATTGTTTGAATATCAAAAATAACTCGAAAATGGAAAAAAATGTCGAAAATTAGACAAAAGAAAAATGAGTTTGAAATATTCAAAATCAGGGCGTGTACTCAACCAAAGTACTTAAAGTGTGGTAATGATCAAATTTGGAGCTGTGACGTCCGCCCGCACACTTCAAAAAGGTCGAAAGGTGTAAATAAAACAAAAAACGCGAACGTTATTGAGCACTTGCCACGATTGATGGTGAACTATGAAAATAGACACATGCATATACGTACATAAAGCGGCAGCTGGAATTAAACGGAAATTGAACGCTGTCGCACTGCAAGCTAAGAAATGTTGTCCTTAACTTGGCCTTAGCGACATCTGTTAGATTTGGAAAATTTTTTTATTGAGAAAAACTCGAAACTAATTCACCGTTAGACTGTTGTTTGACTTTTCGAAACTAGGTACCCCTTCAAAAAAGGAAAATTTTATTGGAAATGCTAAAAATAAAGTTTGATAATAAAAGTTTCCAACGGGACCCCATTTATGGGGTTACATGGGTTTCCTCGAGCAAAATGCAGCATTTACAAAGTTTTTTGTATTAAGGTGTATGAAACATTAAAAATTTTAATCAAATTTTTTAATATACCAAGAAAGCATATTCTAAAGAGTTTTTTGGAAAATTTCTAAAGATAATATTCGAAACTCTGAAATTTTTGGCTGTTTCTTCAAAGGAAGGTGAAGTAAAAAAGATAAGTGTTTTGTTTAAGATCACAAACTGGGTATTCGACGAAGAGAAAGTAGTATGGAGTATAGAGAAAGAGTTTGTTTCAAATTTTGTATTTCTAACCACATTTCGTGTGCGGAATCGAAAATACAACCCCGCGAAAGGTACAAAGCTTTCAACGACGGTCGCGAAATTGTTGAGTCATGCCTTCTTCTGAGCGACCTTCGACTTCTTTAACTGTTGAAAATATTACAAAAGTGAAGGATATTGTGCATGAAGTGTTAGGGATGATCTCGACATCTCTCGCGAAACTGTTTGCATGCCTTTAGTGGATATTTTGGGTATGAAACACGTTCTAGCTCGACTCGTCCCGATAATTTTTTTCCAAAAAGAGTACTGTAAACAGGTCTCTTTGGTCCAAAAATGCAATGTATAATATATATCAACCACCACATTCATCAGATTTGGTTTTGTGTGGTTTTTTCTTGTTTCTTAAACTAAACTCGGCGCTCCGTCGAGAAAAATTCGTTTAAAGTTTCAAGTGACTATAGAGCTGAACCGCAAGAAATGTTATAGCAAGAAATGAGACAAAACAATTTTGACTTTCTGAAGCCCTGAAGCCCACGTAAGCCTTCAAGCACAGTTAAACGATTTTCCTGCTGGGCCGCCGGTCAATTTGATGCACAATGCAACACATCAACAACGCAATCGAAACGACAGCAAGCCACATCATAACTACACACTAACGCACACATATCAGCTGGGTTAAGTGTGGAGATTCGGTTTGCATGTCGATCGAATTGTGGGTCATTAGCAGTAAGTAGGTTCTCAGTGGTTGGAAACGTCTTGAAATATGCTTTTAATGGCTGACAAGCAGCGGCAAGTTGTGGTTAGGCGGCATGCAACTAAACATGATTTGTGTTTTGCTACTTTACCGATCGATCGATCGATCAAAGCAACGTTCGTTGTTGCAGCAGCGGATGGTCGCCAGGTTACAGTTACGCAGCCATTACAGTTATGGGCGCATTGTGATGAGCCTACGGTGCGCGTGACTGTGCCACGCCACGGTAATTGTTTCAGTAGTTAACGTGTCGTATACATTGTATACGCCGATTGATCGTGCCACAAAATGAGCACAACTCCGAAGATACACCCGCAAYGCGTAAGCAGACAATAGCGTGAACTTATTAAGTCGCAAGGCTGATCAATTGTTGGGTTGATCGATCTTGCATGGTCATTTCAGAAATTAAAAAACTATTTCTTTCAAATGCTCATCAAGTGTAGGCTTTGTAAGCGCTACTTAGGCGCGTTAGCATATGTAATGCTAGGCGAGCACTTTCAKATTTCAATGCATTTTCTTGGAAACACTGACTTAGTATGCTCGAAGACGAGGAGGTGACAAAGCAGCAAATTGAAAATGTCGAAATAAAARGCAGAGTAGGTGCATACGAAAAATTCTAAAATTCTCAGTTTTTGGAGCTGCACTTCGCGGTTAGATAGCGTTGGCGCTGCATTCGTTTCGTTGAAGAATTCGGAATACGTCATGTCAATGCAAGCCCAAACGAACACGCTGCTTGCAGTTGTGGAGCAGCTTCAGCGCAGTAATGCTACTTTGTGCTAAGCAGTCGACGGCGGGTGTTGAAGCACCAACCGTGCAGACGGTTGATTTTKTCACACACTGACACAAGCACAGCAGCATAACGAGCGATGGAAGTCGAGTCGGCTGGACGTTTGGTCGCGTCAAATGGCCATCGCAACTCAAAGCTACGCGCATAACTCAAATCAACTTGGCGYAGAACGAACGCAATCAATTCATTTTACGCCATTCACGCTGAACATATCAGCGAGTGCAAAATAAAAGCWAAACAACGCAGCGCCATAATAAATAACAGGCGCTCGAAGTGAGTTTACGTTCAAAAGTGCTTCAGCGAATGCTTCAATCGACTTTACACTAATCCTTTTGATGTTGTTATAGCACGAGCTATTCTTGTTTCGCCATAGAAAAAAATAGTAAAATAAAAATCAAATAAACATACATGCAGAGGAATGAAAGACAACAAACAAAGCCTTCACGGCTTCACGGCTGTACTTCGATCATCCGCCAGCACCGAATCTAATGCGCACAAAGGCACATACTCCAGCGCGCTATAGAAATGTATACGAGCGARCGRACGGACGGACATACAGACAGACRGACAATGACAGGCAGGGAGACATTGCCAGTCAGCCATACAGCTATTGAGGCAGCTAGCGAGTTGGCCAGGCGCGCTGCCAGCCGGTGCCATTATGACAGCATGATTAGGCATAACAGTTTCATAAAAGCAGCAAATCGTGCGCGGGCCCCGTGTCCGTAACGACAACAACAACAATAACAGCAACAGCGAATACMATTGCAAWAACAACGCTTAGCAAAGCGTCCCTTACACGCCCGCGCTTAGCGCAGCAAACAAAAAGTCACAGCTTTGCGTTAGGTGCTGGCTGCGCGGGCGGGCTGCGGCGGCTTAGTGCCAGCGGCAAGCGCAACAAATTCGCGCAAATCTTTCTACAACACATTGCTTGTTGTTGTTGGCTCTTGGCAAATGCYCCGCAAGCAGTGCCGTAATCTACACCTGGCCGCTTTGTTTGTGTCATTCTACCGTCCGCTTCAATAGCGCGGACGGGTTTGCGCCTGCGCACGGCCAAGCGCTGACAAAAAAAAAACTAATATGTGGTGTGACATTTGTTTTCTTATTTATTTTTGAGCGCGACACGGACCAGCGACAATTGTAACAATTGAATGTAATAATTGTGGTGGGTGGCGGCGTTGACGTAACGCGTTGCTCTGCTGGATTTCGGCGCTGCTCTCTTTTGGCACTTGGCAGCGCGCTGAAGTTGCTCTCGTTTATCTCGAAATTTGCGTAATCTTTACCAATGCTTGACTTTGCCATTCTATTATAACTTTTAAGTATATTTGCCATTCAGCATCTGTGTGGTTGTTGCTCCTGCTCAGTCTGCGCACAATTTGCATATGACGCAAATCTGTTTGGGCGCGTATTACCTGTTTCAAGTTTTCGGGTCTTCCGTTTCATTCTCTGGCGTTGATGTTTTGTCACTGCGCTGGCCAACACATTTGTTCTTGCTGCTGAAAACCGTTGGTATGATTGATTAATTTCATTTCAATTTCGATTTTTGCTTTTGTTGCGCTACCATCAAACCACACACACACACACACACACTTTCACTTACCATTTCAAATGGCCAGCCATCAAGCCATGCGCGCTCCAGTCGCGCAGTTGTGATTACCGTTCAAACGGTAGCATGGTCTTAAACGGCTGCAAAGCTGCCACTACTTCGCCTGCTGACTGGCAGCTAATGTGAAAAAAATTTGTAGTGCTCATTTAGGCCTGCCAGTGATGGCGCACTCWATTTCGTCTATCTGTAACATGATTTTGCATTGCCCAACCCCCACTGCAGCTTCCTCAAAGCCTCTCGCCATRCAAACGACGCCACTAACTGCCTCACCCCGTTTCTACGTGCTGCTTYTTTGCCGTTGTCTTGAGCCAAGTACCTTCACTTCGCTTGCCACACTCGCCAACTAGGCRACTGCTCGGCTGAAGTCATATCGCCATCGCTGCTCGTCGTCTCGCATCTCCGCTGTTCGTTTCGCATTGTCTCACACCGAATTTGGCCGCGTCCGTTCTCTGTTACSGTACATTTAAGGTCGCCATATGCTTTTTGATTTCGATTTGACGCTAAGCGTAGCTCATTTTATAATTTTGATCTCTTTTTTCCAATTTTTCGTTGTAGTTGTTTGTACGCTTGTATATTATATTATATTGCTTATACGATTAATCTTGATTGTGTGTGGCAAACTACATACGAACAAGCAGTACTCTGCGTGTACTCCCGTCTCATTTCATCATTTTCATTTTCGTTTCGTTTATTTTTTGGCACAGGTATTTCGTGATCCATCGAATTTACAGCGGCATATTCGTGCCAACCACATCGGTGCCAGAAGTCACGCGTGTCCGGAGTGCGGAAAAACATTTGGTACATCGTCCGGCCTCAAGCAGCATACGCACATCCACTCGTCGGTGAAGCCGTTTCAGTGTGAGGTGTGTTACAAGGCGTATACGCAATTCTCGAATTTATGCCGTCATAAGCGCATGCACGCCGATTGTCGCATGCAAATCAGATGTCCTAAGTGCGGCCAAAGCTTCAGCACGGGTACCTCGTTAACCAAGCACAAGCGTTTTTGTGACCCCACCAACGTGCCGCTGCCACCACAGCCCGTCTCTGCCGGTTCCGGTGTGAATTTGCCACCACATTTGCCGACGCACCAACAGCAAGTCATGCAGTCTCGCGTCTTACAATCGATGAGTGCGGCCGTCGCTGCCGCCACGGGTAATACCAATGGCACAGGCGCTGGTCTGCCAGGTAGTGGCATGTCGCCAGCCGACCATCCGTTCGTGCTGTTTCCGCCGTTCTTTCCGAATTTTCCAACCGCCACCGCCCCCTACGGATTGCCGGGCATATTTCCGTCAAGCTCAGCGCAGGCAACCAACTTCCCGTTCATGTTTCCGAAAACCAATTTGGAAATGTGTATGCTCGGTATGCCGACGCCAAGTGGTCACAATACATTCAGCAGTTTGCCGTCTATGAAAGGTAGACGGCTTCACAATTTGAACGCTGGCGAGAGTATGCGCTCGGGTGACGTATCACCGCCGTCGAGTGAGCACAGCCTAAAGCAATCGAATAGTAATGCTAACGCCACACTAAGTCTAGCCACGGATACTGATGAAAATGGCAAAATACCAACACCACTTGCGCTGACGTTGGCTTGTAATTCACCAAATTTCAATGCCAATCAAAACAGTTTCTCCACACACAATCCAAGTGATGAGGATACCAGTTCGTCTGTGGAACTAAAAATCACACAAAATGATGACGTCGAAGTGCAGGAGCAAGCAGAAGTTGAGGAGCCAGCAGATATGTCAAAGTTTGAGAYCAGCACCAACAAACTTATTGAAGATGATAAGGTAAGCTGAGATAAACCCTACASAAAAGCCACTTGTGCAGCCGTAAAACTAACACTCCTACTCTCTATTTTCAGAAATCGATTGATATAATGAGCACTCCACCGCCCGCAGACCCGTCAGATGAAGAAAACAGCAAAGCCACAAATAGCGCCGCTGCTGCAGAACTGCCACTCGATTTGAGTATTGGTCGCAAGCGCGCACGCACMACCAGCTCCAGTTCAACTGCCGACACACAATCGGTACATAGCGAACGCTCCAGCAACCAGGCCACGCAAGCCGAGCACAAGTCTGATTGCGAGCAACAACCSGAGTCCAACCTAATACGCTCACATCACCAGAAATTACTCAGGCGTTCAAGCCACAAAATATCAAACCGTCGTTGYGAGAAGCTCAATCGTACACCCTCGATTACCGCCTCGCCTGGGCCGACACCATCACCTTCGCCACCCAGCAAAGAGCAAGTGAATTTACTGTCAAACGATGTGAATTCCTCAGCGTCGGCCGACTTTGATTGCTTGCAACCGTTAGAACGAAATCCGCTTTTCTTGGAAGAGATCTATCATCGTTCGCGCACGCTAAACGATATCTTTCCACGCCCGTTTCCTTTTTTAGGGTCAATGGGCGGACGGCCAGCCTTTGATAGAGCATTACAATGCTCTGACATGCCGTTTCCGCCCGAACCGGTTTTTCGCAAAAATCTACTACCTGCCGGTCTCATCGGCAGCATGTTGGCCACGGCCTCCGGCAAAATCAAGGATCGCTACACTTGCAAGTACTGTGGCAAGGTATTTCCGCGTTCAGCCAATTTGACACGTCACGTGCGCACACACACCGGCGAACAGCCCTACACGTGTAAGTACTGCGATCGTGCTTTCAGCATTTCGTCTAACCTGCAACGTCATGTACGCAACATACACAATAAGGAGCGTCCGTTCCGCTGTCATCTGTGCGATCGCTGTTTTGGTCAGCAAACGAATCTCGACCGACATCTGAAGAAACACGAAGCCGACACGAACGGTTTGGGTATTGGTTTCGGYGACTCGCCATCCTCCAATGAGGCCGATCGTGAGGACAACTATCTCGATGAGATACGCTCTTTCATGGGTCAAGGCACATACAGCGAAGAACAGTACACACCGACGAGTATTGGTGGCGCCGAAAACGACACCGACTATGCGGGCAGCGATGCAGACGTGGAGTTGTCCGTCTCGCGTTCATCGTCAGTCGATGCTGTGTTGCCTGTTGGTAGYGGTGAGGATGCCGTGCACGTAAAGCAAGAGCCRTCGGCAGATGCGACGAAAAGCAGCGACGCGGTCGATGTAAGCTCGTAAGCGAACGCGAAAGGTTGCGAAAAGATGCGAAGTGTAGTTTAAAAGTTATTAAGTGTTTTGTGTAAAAATTACACAATTAACGTTCGTTGTCGTTGTGTGGGTGGGAGGCACATATTTCGTAGCGCAGTTGCGCGCTGAGTTCTGTAACGTTTACGTCTATTACGTTAATAGTGATAAAACTGTGCGCATTTGCTCGTGACATACTATCAAACAGCTRTGTTGAAAATATTAGCATAACGAATTTTAAGTGTAGAAATCATAATTGTTGGAYATAAACATACAGTTTCACATACATACATACATGTGTGCGTGTGTGTGGGCGTATGTAGTAATTAGCTGAGCGCATTATATGCAAAGYATCTAAACTACAGTTGTTTTTGTAATAAGTTTTGTTAAATTTACTATAATGTACTATTAAATCTAAATGAATTCTTGATTAGCTAGCAAAAGTCAGGAAAGTTGAAAATCAATTTTTGCTAACAAAAAGTGTAAATTGGGCCTCGCAAGTCCAGTGATTTGCACTCAGCAGTACTTGAAAGCGTCAATAGAGTATTTGTTTAGTTGTAAGTGCCACAAGAAAATATTAAAATTTAAAATTKAAATAAATAAACAAAAWTKCGGAAACAAATGCATAAATCTTAAGTAATTAGCAGACTAAGTAACAAAAGTCACTTGTAAATAAATATGATAATAATGATGAAGGAGGTTAGTTATATGTTTTGAGACAACACGCGCACATAATACAATTATATAAGCAGTATATGAGCAAAAATACGTATGTAAATGTTTAAGTAAATAAATAAAATTTGATTTTTGTAATTTGTAAGCGCAAAGAAATCGTTTAATAAATAAATAAAATAAAATAAAAACAACAACAACGAGACAACGAGACAAACGTTAACTTTGGCGGCAGTGAAGCTTTAATACCGYCTACAGTTTCATTTTTATAGCTTAAGTTTAGAAAAAATATAAAATAAAACTATTATTCTGATTTTGAAAGGTCCGTTTGTATGGCAGCTATATTTTATAGTAGCCCGATCTTAACAATATCTTTGGATATTATAGCTTTGGCTAAAACTATAGTCTGTGTTGAACTTCGTGAAGATAACTCATCAAATGAAAAAGTTTTCCATAYAAGGAKTTGATTTTGATCGGTSAGTTTGTATGACAGCTATATGTTATAGTAGTCCGATGTAAAAAATTTATTTGGAGATTACAGCAGTCTTTTGAAAAGCTAACGGTGCTAAATTTTGAGAAGAAATCTCATCAAATGAAAAAGTTTTCCATATAAGGAGTTGAGGTTGATCGGTCACTTTGTATGGCAGYTGTATTATACAGTAGTCCGATCTGAACAACTTCTTTGGATAATATAGCCTTGAATAGAACTGAATAAGTCTGTGTGGAACTTAGTGAAGATAGCTCATGAAATGAAAGAGTTTTCGATATAAGGACTTGAGCTACTAGTTCACCGGTCGAAGACCGGAAATCGTGAGCTGCTTGAGCCATATGTRAAATAAACKTTTCTGGCCACTCCCAAGTGAAGGGCGCTCAGGGAACTTTCCACAATTGCATGATCTCATCTACAGATGGCTACATATTACGGCGGCTATGCTGGCCAGGTTATGTCGTCCGATTGGATGAAAACACTCCACCTCCTAGAGTACTCGACGCAGCACCCGCCAGGGGAAGCAGAGGGAAGACCGCCATTTCGACCAGGTGGAGATGGACCTGGCTGCACTTGAAATTTCTCATTAGCGGCAACCAGCGAAAATGAAGACCACAGACGCACTATTGAAAACTTTACTTTAAATGGATAAGCGTTGTCTACGCCAATAAAGAAGAAGAAACCTGATTTACCCCGTTGAGGGTATAAACACTTTTTAATATATTTTTTTGTTGTATTTGATTTGGTTAGCAAACTCTCAACTGGCGTGGAGTATTTTGCCATGTTTCCTATAATGTTTATTCATTTCACCGCCTCATCACTCAATTAGAAATTTCGCTATTATTGTAATGATGGCTGTAAGGCACACAGTTACACTTATAACAATGTTAACGTATGTGTGTATGTGTGTGCGGCTGATGTTTCAATCTTGCAACCGTGACTTGGAGTTTATCAAATCCAAACTTTTTCGTAAACATTAGCGCATTTATTTCATCTGCTGCTCCTTGCTTCTTTCATAGCTTGAAAACACTCACTATTGTTGTTGTTAGTGTTGTTCTTGTTGTTGGGCAACCAGCGGCGTTTTGTGAAGGAAACGTTTCAAGTCCAAATAATCGACTGCAATAAAAACGCCGTTCACTTAATCACCGAATTAACACTTTCATTTTCATTACTGCCAGCACACACACACATATACAATTTAACATTTGTTTATATACATGTATGTAAGTAATCATAAGCATATAAATACGTATATAMTATCTACAAGCATATGTAGACATTCCGCTATGTGCATTGGCAGCCGTGTGTGCGCGTTTTATTTACGGAACTCTTGAAGACGTTCTAAAATCAAGGTTAAGTTGTTTTTGATTCGAATTTCGTACGCTCTCTTCACTTCATTATGGCTTAATTATTGTTTTACTGTTTTTCGATCGAAATTAGCTGCTAATGGAACTAATTTAAAATGAGTGTTATCTTTAATCATCTGGTAAGTGCAGTCATTTCATGCTTCGAAATCTTATCCATAAATCATAGCCGACCGATTAATGGCCTCGTAAAAAGGCGTCGACAAGCGCAACGGATTAATAAGCCTTAAATGGTTCAGTTTAAAAATAGTTCGACACATTTTAGTTTGAGAAATCGCGAAATTGCAGCTTTCTCAGCGATGTACTGTCAGAACTTTAATCAGAGGTGTAATTATGATTATTTTCATCGAAAAGTTGTTGGACCAATGAAATTATTATATGAAAAATATATTTTTTATTGATGYCTTAGATTTTTTGAGTATTTTTTTCAGGATTTTAGAGTTCCCAACATGTCTCATAAATCGTTACTAATAAGAAGTAATAATCCTAATGGTCGGGTGGCTAACGTGCATATCCGGGATGTTACCTTTATTGAGGCTAACCCAGACTTCAGATTTKGTCTGTATCTGGAGTTCTTACTTCCTTACCGATATGGGCCCAGAATCTTTTATGGTAGGTTTTTTATTTATTTTTTTGATGCTAAAGATACACCTCTTTCGGGATCYCGCCCAGTTAGTATTATCTAACTTTATTGGAATTGCCGAACAGTAAGYCAACATTCTAAGCCCTTAACTTCGACTGCTTTAGCTTACATTTGGACCTGCGGGAGCGCCGTTAGGCATTACTTCGCAGGACCAAACTGGGCAAGAATTCTTCTTCACAAAACTCCCTGCGGGATTATTCAGCTTCTTCGCTGTCGCTCTTTTATCTTTGGTTCTTGGATCGCTATTGCAGCCAACTCTTTMATTTTTGCCCATACCAGCTTTGATTACAGCATGAGACTTATAATATTGTCGAGCGTCATCATTTGGATTAGTATTAATTCGTTGGTASTTCTCTCCACTAAATAACTCGAGCAGGAGAAAAATCCGGCGGCATAGGACCAGATTTGTTGACTAGCTGACTTTWGCTAGTAGGGCTTCCTACTTTGGCTAGGACCACCAGCAATTATTCTTGACARATCGTCACAGCAATGTCGTCCGCATAGCCAATTATTTGAGCTTTTTTTGATAGCGGAAGGATAGCAGCTTAAGGTCTTTTAATATACTTATTTTAATAGAATACCTACATATTGTTCTCCACTAGTTAGGATGCCGAACAGTTAGAATAGTTTTCTACGTCTGCGCGTAAATTGCTTCGGCGTCGATAGCGTTTAGCTGAGTATTACGCTTAATTTCTTGTGTATGCGTGTAATACGAGTTTGAGGTCAAGCCCTTGGTCACCAGTCCAGAACAATATGAATGAAGAGRTCTGGACGCTGGCTGATTCTGGTGCCACGTGGAGAAGGAGCCTGCTCTACTTTTGAGCGCTGTGGGGTAAAGCTGTCATTAGCWGGTATACACGTTAAACACACCGGACGTTCAATAAGCTAATTAACATCTATCGCTATTTAATCCATTTACATTTGTATTTTTTATACAAAATTCCTTGCTAATACTGAAATCTGATGCCGAATATATGTTGAGTTCTCTCACGAAATTGGTAGTGGAAGATCGAGATAGCTTGAATTGAATTTCAAATTTATATAAATATGTCAAAGGACATATTTTGAAATCGTAGTTCTTGAAATGTTCCCAGTGAATAATATGCTTATGATTTTTGTCATTGCAACTCTGTTCTACGACYACTCACCAAGAACTAGCATTCACGATTTGACAATGATTTTATAAATTGAGCTTCTTCCCGCTAGCTATTTAATGATGGGTAGACTGACTTTTTAATTGGCGAAAGAGTTTAGTCGGTAGTTCGTCAGTATTTTCTTCACTGTTATGACTTAAGACTGTACAATCTTATATACAATTATAATCCGTATTACCGGTTAATAATAAGGAAGGTTTAGGGTCTCATTATTTCTACGACAAAAAAACTTACTAGACCCGAAGAAAGTGGTTTGGCACATGCATAACCGCGCAGCGCCGTTTTCTATCAATCTATCGTCAATCACTTCAGCACCCTTCAATTGAGGCATTCATAGACATCATTTTCAAAGAAATACGGTACCTCGGCATATAGACCCTCCACGCAGTGTCTTTTGAGGATGTAATGGAGGCTCAACCATGGCTTGTGGCTCATCGATCTAAATGCGATACTTTCTTCATTCCACCACAAATTGGATTCGTCTGTGAAAAAAGTTTTCTTGCAAAAATTGGTGGCCATTTTGATTTGGGCGCAACGCGCTTGATGGTCGTTCGGTTTTCATGATTGCACGAGTTGGATTTTATAAGTCGCAAACCAWGATCGTTTCGAAATTTTTTCCATAAAGTGAATGAGCAAGCTCTAATTGTTGCGAGTAATGCTGGATGGATTCATTYGGGTATTCTTTGATATTTTGCTCCGCAGATGCAATATCGTCTTCGGTGCGCATTGTACGATGTCTCTGTCATAGCGAGAACAGAAGTAATAAATATATGAGATACTAAAAGTTCATAAATCTAGTACAAAATAATGTGCATTACATCGACTTCAAGCAGTGTTTATAGTTATTGACAAGAAGCTTGCAACATTTTCASTAAAATTTTCAAATTCATTTTATTTTAGGAAATCTAGCTAAAATAGTGAAATCCTTTTTTTATGTGAGAATCTTTCGAGTTAGATCTATTAATTCCGTAATTGGTCGAACAACGTATGGAGTCTTTAAGAACATATATTTCCACCTAAACGAACTTTCAACGAACGTATCTGTAAGTAACCGCAGAGCAAGCAATGATTTGCCGTTTATTTATGAGTAACCATAAAACGGTACAATGAAGCGCGCTGACAGAAAAAAAAACACCAATTTCAACCAGCTTGAGTAGAAGGTGCTAAGAAACCAACAATAACAATGGTGATGATTAGAAAAAAGCGATCGAAAGGAATGAAACATCAAAAATTATGTACWTACAATGCAACGGTCTATTCGCTGGTCAGCTTACAGACTTACTAACCGACTGATTGAATGCCTGGCCTGTGTGATCGACTGTGCGGCGCGCTGACGAAAATGCACACATACACACTCATCGCAGAGCGCATGTAGGTGCCTGCACTGGAGCAAATGACTGTTCTGCACGCGCGACTATGTCCAAAATTTATGGTTTCCATTTGATGCCGAAGATGAATGGGCAAGTGAGCTTTTGCGTCATCCAGTGAAGACTTGCCG